CCCTAAACCCTAAACCCTGTACTTCGTTGGCCAGAATCTTGGAAAAGACCCTTACAAGGAACCCAGCCTCAATGGCCCAAAGCCCGGCTAGAATCGTCATCCCTTTGAGCTCGAGCAGCTTCTCCAGCCTTTCCAAGATGGTGCTCGAACGGGGGGGGGGGGGGGGGGGNNTACGGTTGATGATATAAACCCGGCATGGCCCATAATATAGAGTTCAGGGTTTAGGGTTCGGGGTTTAAGGGTTTAGGGTTCAGGGGTATCCATCATAAGGAATATACCATAATTCCCATAATTTAGGGTCCTTAAGGTCATGCCGATTTATATCATGAACAGTATGTTTCGAGTTGTGGCTTGTTCCCTAAACCCTACACCCCAAATCCTGAACCCCAAACTCGAAATCCATAGAGTTGGAGGGAATTTGGGACGGAGGATCGTTCAGAGCTGAGGTGACTCAGTTGGTTGAGTTTGGGGTTTCTAGCTTGTTCTACAGCTTCGGGACTTTAGGATTTAGGGGGGGGGGGGGCTGTAGATGGGGCTACCTGAAGAGTTGGGCCGGTTGTACCGGGTTTGGGGGTTTAGAGGTTCAGGGGTTCAGGGGTTTAGGGTTTAGGGGTTCAGGGCTTTAGGGGCTTAGGGGTTTAGGAGTTTAGGGGTTTAGGGGCTTAGGGGTTTAGGAGTTTAGGGGTTTAGGGGCTTAGGGGTTGAGGGCTCAATAAACAAAGTACAGGGCTTGATACGGCTGTCGGCGTTCGGGGTTTGTAGGCCTTTTAAGTGTGGGATGTCAGAAACCTCGAAACCCGGATGGAAGGCTCTGGGGGCCAAGACTGGCTTAGGCTTTAGATGTTTAGGGTTTAGGGTTTATAGGTGTTTAGGGTTTGGGGGTATGCATAGACCAGGTGTAAAAGGGTGGTAGGTTTGATGTTGGCCCTCCCTCATGAAATCCTCGCTGCAGATACCGGCTTCCAAGTTGTGCTGTTTTGTGTTTTGGGGTTCTGGTTTTTAGGTCCCCTTCTATGGGATGCCCCATGTAGTTCCTATGCAGGCCAGCGGCCCTAAATGAGCAGAGATGGTGGATTCACTCCAGGTGCTAGTGCTTGTGAACGTGGCTAACGGTAAGCACAAGGCGTCTGGCCTTCCTAGGCACATTAGTTAGTAGATTAGGTTTGAGGGGGTTGTTTGATCTGAAGAACATGCCTGCACCCTCAACGCGAGCGCGAAATTAAAGAGTCCCATGACATTCTCATGCCGTCGTTTCGGACGGTGGGGCACATGGTGCGGCATCTGCAAAGCCCCGGCTGCGGCGACTGGGTCCTTCAGGCAGTGGGGGTCGCTGTTGCCACTGCGGGTCGTGCAGAAGCTGGTGTGCCACGTCATGGATGGTGGCCTTGGTGCTGAACTGCCTCCTTATCTTCAACTCCACCTCTTCGGTCTGGGTGTGAATTGGGTCCCGTGCCCTGCTACCCAAGTCAACATGGGAGCTGATTGGATGGTTGCCATCATCCTGAGAGACACTGTGCTGACTGCTTATGAGAAGGCGGGAGAAGCGATGGGCACTGCTGGCCGAAACCTTAAGTGAAGCAGCTGCAGAAGGCCTGCTAGATCGCGAGCTCCCAGTCATTGAGTGCACAGGGCTGGTGTATCTCTTCCTGGCAATGTCCTTAGGGAAGGATATTATCAGGTATGCAGGCCCCGACACTAGCCATGAGAACGCCTCCACTTGTCCCGTTTTCGGAAGCTTTAACTTAGCTGCAAATGTCACAGAAAGGCGCACCCAGCTTTCGGCAGTCGACATATCCTACAACCCCAAGTCCTCAGGTCCTAAATATCTTCATCTTTAAGCCCTCAAGCAACAGGTCGTGTAGCTGCACGAAAGCCGCTGGTGGCTGCTGCTGGGAGTGGCTGCTGTCTTCTGCTGATGATGTTGTCCATAGGCAGCGGGTGCTAAGATGGTCATAATAGGCCTTTTTTTTAATCTTCAACAGGGCTGTATGTAGGGGTTGAAAATTGGGTATAGGGGCTTCAACCAACCACAGGGCTAGGAATTAAGTGGGCGGAATAAATTAAAGACCCACAACCGGCAGAACGAAGAGCAATACAGTGTGTTAAACAGGTTTTTCATGTGTGAAACAGGTTGTACTAAGGTGTGTAACAGGTTCTTCTGGGTCGTACGAGCCATTCAGCGTCGTAGCGCGGTTGCAGAACACCCCTAAACATCCTATACCCTAAACCCTATAAACCCTAAACATCCTAAACCCTAAACCCTAAGCCTTGAAGTCTTACAATACAGGCGTGGTGCGCTTTGGGGTTCAGGCCCAGGTCCAAGTTTCAAGCTCCAGCTCCGGTTTAGGGCTTAGGGGCGTATTCGTTTGAGCTTCGGGTTTAGGGTTTTGGAGTGGCCCTTAATAGGGACCCTTGTAGGTTATTGGATTTAATATCCTATTAGGGGTCCTTCCTAAAGTCCTTAGATTCCTGCTGAGGGGCATCCTGACAGAGTGCACTCCCAAACTGCAGCACTAGACGCTTAAATCCCGACCCCTGAAGCCCCAAACTCAAAACTCTCAAGAATCCCTACAGAACCCAAAACTCTGAAGAACCCCTACAGAACCCCGCTTAAAGCATCCACGGTTGCTTGAAGCCGGACGCTTACCGTGCAGGAGTGAGATGCAGGATCAGATAGCAATTTAGCGCTTAGGGCCACGGTTGAGGGTTTTGGGGTTTAGATGGGCATTCCTCTGCAGATCCTCGGTAAGAAGCCTGACCGTGGTGCTGTCTGTATGCAGCAGCACAGCTTAAAAAGAGATCAAACGAAGTCCTGGAGCTAAATGAAGGGGTTGCGTTCGGGTAAGAACCCTAAACCCTAGACCCCTAAACCCTAAACCCGGCCTAAACCCTAAACCAATAAAGCGCTAAACCCTAGACACTTCCGGGTCTGGGGTTTAACGATTTTGGGATGCTAGACCCTAAACCCTAAACCGATAAAGCGCTAAACCCTAGACACTTCCGGGTCTGGGGTTTAACGATTTTGGGATGCTAGACCCTAAACCCTAAATCTAGAGGGTTCGGAGCTCAGGGCCTAGGTTAGGGGGAGATGTGGGGTTATATCAAGGACATTTTCAGGTGGGCAGTTACCGTTATAGGAGCCTCATAGAAGGTCTGCATACCTCATGGAAGCCTTATAGAAGCCCTATATACCCTAAACTAAAGCCCCAAACCCGAAAAACCCAAACCCCAAAGCACCAAAAACTCTAAACCCTAAACCCTAATCCCTATATACCCTAAGCTCCCCACCACCTTGTTTCCTTTAATTACAAGGGCGTCGGGCTTTGATGGGTTGGGAAAATTCGTGCCATCGGCTCAGGATTTTGAGATTTCGGCTCAGGGTCTAATATGCTTTAGGGTTCAGGGTTTAGGGATATAGGGGCCGAAGTAATTACCTATACTATAATTTGGGGGGCCCCTTCTTATAATTATAGTAGAATGGGCCCCGAAACCCTATTCTAATTATCAAGGCCCTACATCAGATTCTATAGGGTTTAGGGTTCTTAGACCTTTACACCCACGAAAAGCCACCTCCTGCACAGGCACGTTGACTCCGTTGCAGTACGGGCTGACGTTGAATCTCATTACACGGCAGATCGACCCCGACAACGTTTACGAAGGAGAGCCCTTGTGGTTAAGATTTTTAAAAATGTCTGACCGACAACCTGAGTGCACCAAGTTGGGATGTAGGGTTTGCGTTTTGTCGTATGTTGGGCTTTCGGCAGCTGTTCTACTGCTGTGCTACAACTAGTCCGGTCCTAGTCCTTGCCTTGCTTTTGTTAGCCCCTGCGTGTGCTGTTGTCACCATAACCTATTTTGCGATTTGCCGGTGTAGAAGACAAGGTGCAGCTCATGGGCCCACTCCGAATTTAAAGAACCTCGCTTTCTAGATCGGTACCTGGAGGTTCATGGGTAGTTGTAAGTGGGGTCACAAGTCCCTTAATGTGAGTTATAGTCACAGTTAACCTACTTATAACCTTACTTAGCTACCCTAGACCCTCAACCCCATAGAACCATTAAGTAAGGAACCCTACTTAGAATCCTACTTATAACCACCCACGACCCTTCAGGAGGCGGCTGCGGGCCGGGCAAGTTTTGTGAAGGATACTTCTTGCTGCCATCATAGTTGTGATAATCGTGACTCAGTTGCTGGCTCTACTTAAAGTCATCTATGCCCGCTCTGTGAGTCGACCCGACTCCCGACACTAAATCCTAAAGTCCTAAGCTGCCTTGCTACATTCAGACCCAAACACCCTAAATATCAAACTGGAAAACCCCTAGAATTCAGACCCCCGAGCCCTACCCATAGGCCCCATAGTAGTTCCTTTTCTGTGGCTTCTATTTAGGATCCTATTAGGTCATCCCGGTAATCCCAAAAAGGAACTACCAAGGGGCCTTTGGGTAAAGCCTAAATCCCAAACCTCCATCTCAAGCACTCTGCTCCGTTTCGGAGGAGGGAGGCACTTGATAGGTCCCTACAAAAGCTTCGTGTCCTTTCCATCCACACGCGTGACGCTGTGCCTGGGCCCGGAAGTTTCTAGCAATTGGGGTTTTGGGTTTAGGGTGCCTCGCCGTTGGGGCAGACCCCGCAACCTTGCCATAAATCACCAAAGCCAAAATCTAAATGATCTGCCCACAGCCGTAGGCTCCGACAGCAACGCGCAAAAAGCTAGAAACTGGTGAGAGGGTGAAGAGTGCTTGTAATCCCTGCAGTTTCCCTCGAGGGATGAGTTTCCAACTTCTGCTTTCCCAAAAAGGTGTGAAGCCTCTATCGAGTCATAGCTGCATGCGAATCTGGAGCGGAAGAGCACAAGCGTGTGTCACGGATTTCTTGCACAAGCTCAATCTCGCACAGCTCATCCCAATCAGTTTCATGATTGTAGTTTCGGCTTGGCAGACTTTCACCCTTGCTTCCATCAGCTGCATGCCAACCGATCAGGACGGACGAGGGGCTAGGCCTCAGGAGTCTCACGAAGAGGGGTGGTTGTGAAGCTTTCTCTGGGCTCCAGAGATGTTTACTTAGTTCCCCAACCTTTATACTTTTGGGGGTCGTATAATTTAGTAGTAATCTGAAAGTTTGACCTTTTACTTCCCTGGCTTATTGAGGAAGTAAGTTTAACATAGAGACGTTTCACATAGCTAGCAAGGAAGAGACCAGTCTGCACCCTAACTTGGAAGTCTAAGCCCCCAAAGGAATGAGGAGGGTGCCGGAAGTCCCGGTATTCTTTAAGGATCGCCGGTTCAGGCTTTACAGGAAGGGCTTTGTCCGTGACCTGACACCTCAACGCCTACGCCCCACTCGTGGAACCGCCAGTCAAGCAGGTCTTTTGCCAACAAGAAGGACAGCACGCAAGGTGGGATCCCCTTCAGATTAGCCCTGGTGGACGCCGCAGTTCTTGCAATTTCTGTGATACATGTCGCACCCCAGCCATAAGGCTCAGTAGAGCCCAGCACCAACAAGAGCATGAGCCCTTGTAGCCCTCATGCAAGCACAAAACATTATACCCTCAAACACAGGGTGTCTGGCCTTATATTCCTCATGCAAGCGCAGCACAATGTACCCTCAAATGCAGGGTCTACCCTAACCCCAGACAATCATACACTACATGCTTAAGATTCCTTATACATACATTTCCTTGCAAACGTCATTTGGGCTACAGCTAAAATGGGGGTTTCCAAGAATAAGGGACCCTAATATAATACCCTAAATAATAGGATCCGTAATATAAGGACCCCAAAATANNCCTTATTTCGGAAACTCCCATTTGGGCTACAGCTAAAATTGACAAGGAGCCGCTTAGCACTTCCGGAGAGGTCCTCTGACAACGCGCACGAAAGATGGACTGGAACTGACCTTGCAGCTGGCATTCCAATACAGGCCAGGGCCAGGGGTTTAGGGTTTAGGGT